GAAACTGCACATGGTCCCGGCTTCCTTCCCGTCTCCCAACCCATCTCCCGTTTAAAGTAATTCATCATGTGAGCACGGCACCCAAAGAGACCTCCAGGGGGACAGAGACAGACAGACAGACATGCAGACAGAGAGAGAGAGAGATTAGATGGTGGTAGGTAGTTAATGAAGAGGACCTAAGGATCTTATGTCCTGTTGCTAACTTGCTACATGACTGTGGGCAAATCACATTCTTCCTAAGATTGCCTAATTTGTGCTTATAAAAAAGGGCTGGATATATTTCTCTCCCTCTCTCTCCCTCTCCCTCCCCCTCTTTTTTATCTATCTCTCTGTCTATCTATATGTGTGTGTGTGTACATGCATTTATTTATGCATGGGTGCACATGGTCGCATGTGCATGTCGAGGATAGAGGTCAGCCTTGGGTACCCTTCCTCAGGAGTCACCCACCTTGTTTTAAGACAAGAACTCTCACTTGACCGTGAATTTGAGGATTAAGCTAGACACTCTGGAGTCATCCACCTGTTTCTACCTCTCTGTTGCTAAGATTTCAAGCTCATGGTACCATACCTAGGTTTTTAAGTGAGATCTGAGATTTGAACTCAGGTCCTTATGGTAAGCACAGTACTGACTGAGCTACCTCCCCAGCCCCTTGTACCCCATTACCTTCTACTCCGGGTCTCTGGTGTTTCTATTGCTCTCATTTTCCAGAAAAACCAACTTTCGGTGTGGGCTGAGGTCAAAGTCCTTTAGAAAGGAAGCAACTGTCTGGCTTAACCCCTGTTCATGATGGAGCTTTTCCTAGTCAAGTTTGCCCTTGAAACCAGCACGTAGGGTTTTCTTACCTTGGGATCCGTGAACAATCACAGCAGAAGCTTTTCCAAAACACCCTTCCTGAGGACTGGTTGACATGGACTAGGTCAGAGTCTCCATCTGTGGTTGACTCGGGTGTCCAATATTTGGAAAAGTCCCCCAAGGTGACTCTGTTCCATTGTCTGTCATCTATCAACCCTGCCCAGGGAGGTGGAGGCATCAGAGAACAATGAAGGAAGTAAGCACGGAATACTTAGAACTGCACAGATCCCTCAAACATGCCACACATCTCTGGGTTCGTCCATCCACCACCCATCCACCTGTCCATCCATCCACCTGTCCATCCATCCACCTGCCCACCTTCCTCCTCTGCCTATGCACTTTTCTTCTTAGGCAGCCATCTAGAAGCTGGATTTGGTATTATGATTTGCTTCTTTTCCTTCAGAAACACCCCTTAAGGAATAAGATGAGCTGCCACTGGGGCCAGGAGTACTTTAACCTGCAAGCGCCTGTGTGCACACTGGAGCTGGGGTTCCAGAGAACAGAGCATAAAGAGCAATCCCACTGAATTCCATTTCGGGGGTAGGATTCAGTTTCTTGAAGTAATAATGCTTCCTCTTTCCACCCTTCCCACACACAGTCCACCAAAGTGGGAGTATCTAGGAAGGAATTGATTCTCCCCTTGGCCACACAAGGGGCAGCCCACTGACTTACTTATGAAATGTAGCAGCTGTGGAGATGGAGGAGGAAGACAACAACATCAGTTCTCACAGCTGGCATCAGGAGGTCCTTGGGAGAGAATGGAGCAAGGCAGGCGAGACAATGGTTTATCCAGCATAATGTGTGGACATTGAACACTCATGAAGTACAAGAGAAATCAAAGGTGCAGCCCCCACCCCCCACCCCCGGTCTCACTAACCTGACAATCCAACTGGGGAGGCACACGAAAGGACTAATAATGTTACATAAAGCCATGCACATAGAACCAAAGTGACCCAGAGATGCTATCCCCATAGATGCCATCTGCCTTTCACCTAAAACGGAGCAAATTAATTTTTTCTAGACTTTTTTATTTTATTATTTTATATGCATGAGTGTTTTTGCCTGCATGTATGTATGTGTACCACAAGTATGCCTGGTGTCCATGGTCAGAAGAGGGCATCAGATTCCCTGGAACTGGAGTTACAGATGGTTATAAGCTGCCATGTGGGTACTAAGAATTGAACCCAGGTCCTCTGCAAGATCAACAAGTGTTCTTAACCTCTAAGCCAGCTCTTCAGCCCAAACAAGGCAAATTAAACAAAGGCTTTATGCGTCTCCTAACTTGCATTCTTCCTCCTTTACCAACCTGTACTTAATTTCCCAGGCTCCTTTGCAGCTTTGGTGGGTAAATGACAGAGGAGAGATCTCTTAGAGTGGTCTCTACTCCTCTGACAGCATGATGAAGTGATTTGTGTCCACCTAAGAATGTGCCATTATTGGAGTTTAGGAAGGGGATGTTCACAGAATGAAGTTCAGGTGAGTAACTCTCCTGGGTGAGGCGGTACCACAGTTAGATGGACCCTCAACACAATATGGCTGCTGCCCATGCAAGAGGAGAAAGCTTCAGACTCAGAGAAGCAAGTACATAGATAAAAGACATTTGAGAGTGGAGCCAAAGATTGTAGCTAAGACAGCAGACCAGAAAGACAACAGGGGCCTGCTTCACCGTGACCTATTCCCCACATGTGAGGTGAATTATTCCTTAAGTTACAGGTGAGGGTGACACATGCCTACATAATACCCACAATGAGTCAAATAACCTGGGGATTACCTGAGTTATTTGTTATTACGAGTCTCAGCCACGAGTTCATGTCTCAATCGTGTTGTCGGTCGACTATGGCTCTGGGAAAGTCGGTAAAACTTCCTCGATGCTACTACTTCACTCCTTTTAAAAACAGAACGTATTCCACCTGCCTGAATTTTATATGTGACAGTTATGGGAAAGGCGGAGGTCAACAACCCGGCTGACGTCAGTACAGAGGACTAGGGCTGTTCCTCTAAGGCACCTGGGTACTGCCTGGGTTGGATACCAATACAAATGCCAAAGGCCGATTCTTTCTTCGCCTTCATCCCTGTAGGCAGAGCCCCTGGTTTGGGGTTTGTATTGTTCTGTTGTGTAGGAGGAAACCACCCTCAGCAATCCTGATAAAAACACTTTCTAGGATGTCACATCAATACACCTTAACCCACTCCATCCCTCAGCTTATAAAATCACTCAACAAAGGACTCCAAAGGTTCTCATTTGATGGCAGGAACACAAGTTTAGGATTTTTTTGGTTTGTTTTTTGTTTGTTTGTTTTTTTTTTTTTTGGTTCTTTTTCTTTTCTTTTTCCCCCTTGAGCGCCTCCTGGAATATGTTCATCTCACAAACACCAGGGTCCCTCTCTTCACAGCCCCAAGAATAGATTGCCCTGTCCAGGACGGTTCCTTTGATTCGGAACAAAGGCAAGCCATGATGGTAGCCTGCTAGATCACAAGCAGCTGGAGGCTTGGATAGAAACTTTGCAGGGTGCAGAGGTCTCTCTGGTAACTGAGGGCCAGGCAGGCTTCAGGGTGGATCCCAGAAGTTGGCAGCAGGACCCCTAGAAGTCAGCTGTACCATCTGGACGTCCTCAGCAGTCGCAGTAAGCAGAAAGGGTCTTTCACTTGCTCGGCACTTGTCCCAGGCCTCTCCCCTGAAAGCCCGCTTCTCTAAAGGGCTGGAACACGCCTTGCAGAGGCGGATCCATCAAGATTCATGTCCCTGTTCCGCCTGATGTCCCAGCTCCACAGCTGCCTTGCTCCTTTGGAACTTCAAATCACCTGTTTGTAGATGCGATTTCAAGTCAGGCAGGCTCCAGTCTCTCCCTGTCTCCTGCCTCCTCCACCTGTCCTCACCTCTCACCACTTCAGAGCTGAGTGGGTACGGTTTTCCAAATATAATTTTGCAGCCAGTATGTGAGCTGGGGCTTCTAATGAGGCACAGTAATTGCTTCTGCTACTTTCCAAAATGAAAATGAACCTCCCAAGAGCAGCTGGTTCCTTGTTAGGCTCTCCTCCCTCCTACTCTGCATGGTGCATTCCTCCAAGTCACTCTGAGCTTAGCCTTGCCTGCTTCGGCTGAGAGCAGGACCTGTGGGAGATTTGGTAGGAATGTGTGGACCAAGGAAACAGGACTGAGCGCCGGAATAAGAGGACTATCGTGTACTTGGTTATACTGATGGGAAGAGGGAAGGAGGAGGCTGAGGAGGGAAAGGTCCGGCTTTCCTTTTGAATTGTAAGATGCCCCATTATTGTGTGGTGCTTATCAGTGTTTCTGAAAAGATAACCAAGTGTTTAGATGATGTGGCAAAGATGTTTCCGCCGCCTCCTTTTTCCAAGAACCACTCCGAAGCAATAAAGGGAACAAGAAACAATAACACAAGCATCACATTCTGTAGGGTCAGGACATATCTGTCATCTGCAACTATAGTATATGGAGATGAGAAACAGATGGAGAGATAGATGGTAAGCCACTCAGCGAATCCATGGAAAAGTCAGACCTAAGAGCCAGGGGGCGGTGTCATGAATCAAGTCATCCCTCCCGCAGGAAGCAGGGCACTCTGAGCAGTGGGCAGGCTTGGTACTTCCTCAGTCAGACCGGAGTCCAGCATCGGAGAAGGCCCCTGTGATACTGAGACAGAAACTGGTGAGGAGGACCTCCTGGTCCCTGGCCCTTCCCAACCACAGCAATAGACGTGGGCACCAAGGGAATGAGGAACAAGGCCATTTGTCCTCGACAACCGCCAAAGAGTAACTCTGCCAACATATGCTGTGCTCCAAAGTCTTAACCAGTATTGGGCTTCTCCTGGGGACACTTGAACGAAACAGCTCTTCACCCCAGAAAAGGCACCACCACCACCAACCCAAAGAAATGATTCCATCTAAGTCCAGTGTGGTGAACCAGTGAGTTAACGGAGTTGCTTGCAGGTTCATGGGTGACCCCAAATACTGCACTACAAATGAATCCCATCCCAGTTTGGTCTCCCAAAAGCTACATAGAAGGAATTCCCCTTCCAGTCAACCTTGTATTTCCTGTATAATCTAAAACCCCTTTCCCCAGAGACCCTCCAGGTAGCTGGGTGGCTGGCAGGAGGGAGTGTTTGGAATCTCAGGTGATGGTATAGCCTTCATCACTCCCTCCTTCTGCAGAAAAGAAGCAGAGGAAGAGGAGCAGTTATGGATTCAGGTCCATACCCTAGCAATACAAGTCCTCAATCTAAGTCCTACCTTCTGTGCCCAATATCACCTACCTCCCCAGTATCACCATCAGCAGAGCCTGTGGGGGACGTTTTTCCCTTCAAACTGTGGCAGGCATCAAATCAAGGAAATACATCCCCTTCCTTCTCCTTTCCCATTCGCTGCTGCCTGCTTCCTGTCTGTGCAACATCCAGAGCAAGGCTTCAGACCCCACCTCTGTCCAGTCTTGATGCTTCCGCTTCCTGTTTCAGAAGTTTATCAACGACACTCCATGGGAATCTGTGAACAGAAATCCTCAGTCTCCTCAGCACTGTGGAAGTGAGGGAATCAAGGGGCTAGTGCCTGTCCTCAAGACTCCCAAACCAGAGGGCTGTCACCAGTGCACCCGAAAAGAAAAGGGAAGCTCCCTGCAACCGGGGGATCCCTTGGTCAAGGTCAGCCTGGATGACAGAGCCTGTCTCAAAGGCAAACACCGAAAAGACAAATAGAGGTTTGGGAGTCGTTCTCACTTCATTAAATTATCACATCTGTTTCATTAAATTATTAAGTCACTACAATTTAGTGAAAGTTTGGTGGATTCTTGTTTTTATGCTCCCCATGCACAGCAATGTATGGAGCTTGTGCCAGCCGCTCAGTAAGCATTTGATGAACAAAGGAGCCAGTCAGCCAATCAACACGTTCAGAAGAAGGATGCTGCAGAGTGCCGAGAGCTGGAAAGGCTGGGGAGCACAATCAGAAAGGAAACTTCCACTCAGCGATTCTCTAAGACCAATGGAAACTCGTACAGGCCAAGACAGTCCCCAGAAAGAGAATAGCCCTGGAGAGCACGTGGCAATCAGGCTTGCTGTAATCAACTTTGGTGTGACAAAGTTTATGATGAGTGCTGTGGGAATACCAAAGTAGGCCATCCCAGGAAGCAAGAAATAAGAAGGTGGTTCTAGAAAATATACCTTAGCCCCAGGTGTGGCTTTTTACATTAAGCTTGTGTCTTGCAGAGACAGAGCAACCCATATAGTGCTCTTACTTTTATTAGAGGTTGGTCTGTTGTTGGCTTTAATTCACAGCCCAGGAAGCTGCCCACAGTCCTGGCTTGTGGTCAATGGTATACTGAAAAGGGCAAAGTTCTTTGCTCATGGTGATATACATCAAAACCATGAGTTCATCTATTAACCATGTACATAGCTCAATTGTCTTAGTTAATTTTCTGTTTTCCGTGATCAAATGTCTGAAGAGAAGCAATTTAAGGGAGGAATGGCTTATTTTGGTTGAGAGGTTGAGGGTGCACTCCATCAAGCCGGGGAAGGCACTGTAGTGGGAAGCACCATGATGACCCAGCATGGAGCTGTGACCTCTCCCCTCCTCCCAGAATAGGAGGCAGAGATCAGACAAGACATGGGACCTGACTATGAAACACCAGGATCAGCCCCTAGTGACCCACTTCACCCAATGAGGCTCCACCTCCTAAAGGTCCCAGAGCCTCCTGAAACAAAGCCATCAGAGGGGGACCAAGTGTTCAAACACATGAACTTACAAGGGACATTTTACATCCAACCCATAATATTTAGAGCAGGGCTACTACAACAGACACAAAAGGAAACAACTTTGGGAAATGGTCCATGCTGTTGACAGATATGTTGAACTGGTCACTGCTCTTCCTCGTCAACAAATTTTCACAAGCAAGCATCGTGCAGTTAGGCACTGTCCAAGGCAGGTGACATGGGGTCACCAAGCACTCATTGGAGAGTAAACAGGTGACATTTCCACTCTGAAGGCTTTGGAAACAGGGGCTGTGGTGGTTTGAATAGATATGCCCCCAGAGGCTCATGTATTTGAAAGCCTTGGGTGGCACTAATTGAAAGTAACAGGAGATGTTGTCCTTGTTGGAGGAAGTGCATCTCTGAGGGTGGGCTTTGGGGTTTCAAACACTCAAGCCAGGCCCAGTGACTCTTTCTTCCTACTGCCTGCAGATCTGGATGTAGAACTCTCAACTTCCCCAGCACCATGTCTGCCTGCATGCTACCATGCTCCCCTCCATGATGACAAACTCTGAAACTGTATGTAATCCTTAATTAAACGCTTTTTATTATAAGAGTTGCCTTGGTCATGGTGTCTCTTCATAGCAATAGAACACTGGCATTCATTTCTTTAACTAACTGGCACTTTCTGAAGTTTCAGTTTCGTGTGTGTGTGTGTGTGTGTGTGTGTGTGTGTG